TGAGTATATTTTTTAAAGAAAGCAGAAAGTAATATGCGCAGGATCTTAGTAAAATTAGAGCAGAAAATATACATTTTCATTAGATTTGTTAACTCTTTTCTTAACCGTTTCTCAGTAATGGGCTGACATTTTTCACTATGCAGGAATTAGAGAAGAAATTCCAACAAACAGCAGCTTATCGAAACATGAAAGAGATTCTTACCAAGAAGAATGACCAAATCAAAGACCTGAGGAAAAGACTGGCAAAGTAAGCCATGCCATCCTGCCTCTCGGATTGTCCCCTGTGCGGGTTGATGTCTGTTCCACATTAAATCTAGCTCATGTCCAGAGACATCAGGCCAGGGACTTACTAAATCTTGATTCACGTACCATATCAACTGTTGGTGTCAATCTGGCAATTTAGGTAATTATTGAGTGTCTCCTGTAAGCTGTCATGTACCTAACTGCCAGGCATAGAGACTTGGGTCTGACGGTATCTTGGCAGTTACCTGGCCCATTCGCCCTGCCTCAGGAGCACCCCTGCGCCACCATCACGGCGCTTTCCGTGTGTCTGACTTCTACCACAGCAATGACTGGAACTGAGAAATGCGACAGTACTGGTTTCAGTCCCTGACGATGTAATAGTGACAACAACAAGAAAAGGTAATCGTGACATTCTACTCTTAATTTAATTTACATCTATTTCCAGATACGAACTCGAAGATTAAAAACTGAGGAAGATTTCGCCTAGAAGCGGCCACAGCGTGAGAAGTACAAGTGGTTCCTCCCGCCAGGCGTGTATTTGGAAGCAGCTTACTTTCCTCTCTTGATTTTTCCAACATATAGACTGTTCTCCTAGTATTTAGAACCCGAGTTCCTATTTTCAGTTGCTTAATTGAGAAGAGAGAAAACCTGCTGATTCTGGTCGGTCTTTGCGGAATATTCCAGTCTTCGTTCAGATACACTGAGAATTCTTTACAGTAAAGAGATTTTTCAGAATGGGAAGAAGAGGCTTATTTTTTCGCAGTAGTATACGTAGTATAAAGACTATACCTTTTAAAGAAATGGTAAAGCTAGTAATATCGTATATTGTGCGTTCCCCCCGGGGAAATATAGTTATTGAAGATAGTTACTACCAATAAACCTTATTTTTAAAAATTAAACCTAATACATTTTCTCTATTTGATCATCAAAAAAAAAACTTTAAAAAAATCACATTAAAAATGCAAATACCCCCTTTTATAGGCAGCATTTTTACCAATTATAAGGAAAATTAATAGCGAATATGAGAATTCAGTGAGCTACTTCAGTCTATCCAAGTACTGTGTTGATCAGCAGAGATGCAGGCGTTTTTTTGCAGTACCACTTATCATGAGAACACAGATGGAGAAGTCAGGTACATCCTGTACCTGCACAGTTGAGAAAGTATCTGAACTCAGAATAAATATACAGTAGGTCCCCCTTATCTATGGTTTCACTTTTGGTGGTTTCAGTTACCTGCCATTAACTTTGGTCCAAAGATATTGAATGGAAAATTCCAGAAATAAACAATTCATAAGTCTTCAATTACATGCCATTCTAAGTAGCATGACGAAATGGGCTGTTATGTGGGAGGCTTACCCCACTAAGTGGGATTCACCCCAGGGGGCTGTGGTGCCTGTTGAGACCACCCTTTGTGTGTGCCACTTGTGGGGCCAATTGGGTGGTGCTGTGCTGTGGTCTGAAGCCAACCTCCAAGTACGGTGGTTCTGGGGCCTCTTGGGAGGGGCTCCAGTGCAGGCCCAAGTCAGCCACTGCCTATGACTGGCCAGGAGCTACCTGGTAGGAGCTACAAAGATCTGCAGTTGTTCTCTGCCTGTGCTAAACCTGAAGGCACATGTGAGAGGTCATGCTGCAAACCAAAGACAGCTGCCACCAGTACCAGGCCAGGGGTAGCTCTGCAAAAAGCCAGGACACCTGCTGGCTCCCTTAAGGTTCAGCAACCAATAAAGCCTAATATGGTATGTGAGTTAAGTGAGGCAGGGTCTCAGGGAGTCACTAGAGTGGGAAGAGTTGTGGTCACCAGGTTAATGTAGACTCTGGTTTGGTGCCAGTGCTGAGCGTGAAGCTATTCAGCAAAGGTCTCAGAGCACACTGAGGCCAGTTGCCATCCACCTGGGGCCGGTGGACTCAGATAACTTTCCAAGAAAAAGTACAATGCAGGTGGGGGTGGCTGCTTGCTGCTTGCGGAGAAAGTGCCTCCAGCTGTGCAAACTTTGGGTGAGGCAGGGTCCCAGCTGAGTCAGCAGGGCGGAGCAGCAGAGCTCACCAAGCCAATCAGATTCAGATTTGGCCTGTGGGGGCGGGCTCAACATAGGAGAGATGGTGTCCACCTGCCGGCTGCACAGGAGAAGGCCCCCTCACAGGGAAAATGATGACTGTCCTCCAATCCTCCCTCTGAGGCCACACACCTCAGTCTGCCCCTCTCCCTGCCGTCCCCCCACACACACACACACACNACGTGTGTGTGGGAGCGTAGTGGGAAGTAAGACTGGGCCCACGGGTGACCCTAGTGACAGAGCTGCTTCCAAGCAAAGGCATTGGGCCTCAGCTCGGTCAGAAACGCTCAGGGGCTTGGGCACAGGGTATGGGCGTGATGACTGTGTTTTAGGATAAGCAGCAGTGGTATGCCGCGTAGGCCAAGGACAACCCCAGGAGTTGTAGGATCAGCTAGGTGAGAGGTATCAGAGGAGGGGACTCGGGGAAAAGGCTGAGAGCAGAGGGCTGACAAGAGTCTGAGACTGGGAGAGAAGGAACTAGAAGTCTTAGAGCCAAAGGTGCCTCACGGGTGCTGAGGCTGATGGGCTGGGGAAAACTGAAACAGTCCCAATTACTGGGGCATGCAGATTTTTGATCTATTATGTAATTTAAAATTAATTTAAAAATTAAATGTTTAAGTGAAACAAGTCATTTCAAGTATTAAAAATACTTGGGCTAAAATAACAAAACTTGAATTTACTCACAAAGGAAATTTTAAGACTTCAAGAAGAGAATGTGAAGTTGAAGGCAAGGCTGAAGACCATTGAAATACAGGTAACTGAGAAATATGTTAACAAAATTATTGAAAAGCTTACGGACTATGTACTGAATGTGTTTTGTGTAAACTTGATTATAGGCTACAAATGTGCTGGATGAGAAGTCAAAGCTAGAAAGAGCACTGCAAGACTTACAGCTCGATCAAGGAAATCAAAAGGTGAGATAAGTCTTAGCTGTCTTCAATCTGCTGCGTAGAATAGTTATAAACTTAGTATTAAGTTTCAGTTACTGTTCATCATCCCCCAGCCGCTGCCGTGCCCCTGCCACTGCTGTCCTACACTGGGACATCCTTGTCCAGCGAGGCCAGGTGACAGCCTTCACCCTTCCCTCTGTCCGTCCTCCAGGGCTGAGGGGCACACACACAGCTCACATGACTCACATGTCCAGAGAGCCCATTGGCATACAAGCCATCCCAATGACAATGGGAGAAACGAAATGAAGAAAGGAAGAGTTTTTAGTTCGTTGCATTTATATGTGGGTTTTATTACACAAAGCTTATTACTCAGTTTGCCTTTAGTGAGTGTGGTAAAGTCGAACGAATCTACCTGTAATGAATCTTCAGCTCCATCTATGTCTCCTGGTGCTTGTGGAACACAGCGAGGCCCAGTGTTGGCGTCCTCCACGCGTGTCTGAGTGTGGTAGCCTGTATTGTTCTGGATGCTGTATTAGGATCTCATCTGAGTGAATTTGCAGTGCAACATTGGCTTTTCTAGTGCCTTTACTGTCATTATAAATGACAGTCCCCAAACCTACTCCATTAGGCCTGTGTTACACTTTTTCTATGGAAAATTGCAAATACGTACAAAAGTAGAGAGAATAGTGGAATACAGCCTCAGGCACCATCACTCAGCTTTACCAACCACCCGAGCATGGCCAGTATAATTTCATATTCACCTCCACTTCCTTCTCCCCACCACCCCTGTTTGTTTGAAGCAAGTTGCAGACATGACATCATCTTGTTTGTAGATATCTTTTAAATAGAAGGATACTTCTTAGATGGCTAAAAAAAACAAAGGAAAATACATAGGATTTTCAATCATGATGTACCAAGGACCACAGCTGTATAAAACAGAGCTAAATGCTCCAGTGCAGCTTTCTAATTTCCCAGAAGTAAAACAACTACAAACAGTTTTGGATGATGAATTTGTTTTAAAAGCCATTTTAGACTTTGCTCCAATTTTACTTTTAAGATTTTGGCAAAAGCAAAATGCATACATGCCTTCACTAGTTGCAATGAAATAAAATCTCTTTAAAGACCCTATTTCAAAAATGAGTAAGGAATTTTTCTTTTGTTGATAGTATTGCTTCATCTTCAAACTTAGCCGTTATAGGCCATTTTCCTGTCTTATTAATACAACTTTTTCTTTCTACTATAAATTTTATCCAGTCAAAAATAAAATCTAGGTAAAGA